CCGCTAGTTCTTTGGCACCTTTCCAGGTAAGAAGAGGAGAGGAGACCACAGGACAACGGTGTTTTCCAGGCCTGAGCACTGGGGGAAATGGAATTAGCCATCTTGCTCACAACCACACAAGGGCCTTATAAAGGACACATTTGCAAACCTCATTTTCTAATCACTGATCAATAGAAACAGCTCATTAATTACTTTGAAATTTTTAAGGATCTTTGGCATGACAGGTGTGAAAATGATAGGAGATTCTATCTTTAATCCTTATTGGAAAAATATAAACTTAAGTTTTTTTTTAAAAAAAAAACTGATATAAAGAGCAAAAAGCAAAATAAGATTTTTGATCTTAAAAAGTGGACTAAGGGTACAGGTAAAATTGAAACTTAACTTGAAAAAATGTTTTGGGAATTAAATATAAAGTACAAAGCACTTCTTGTTCTGTTTTGGTTTTCACAAAGCACAACATGGGGTATAATTTCAATATTTTAAAAGTGGGATCCTAGAGGGAAGTAAAGACTTTTTTAAGTAGAGGAAAATGCACAAGCCTGCCACATGCTACAACAATAAAAATACCGAAGAAGACTTTTGAAGAACTAAATCAGACAATAATAGTCATGGTATCAACAATTTCTGTAACCACGTCTGCTTCTCTGGTTAAACTATGTCATTAAAGAAATGTCAGATATAGAACAAATTTTATCTGGCAAGATAGAGGTGATATCAAAAGTGGATTGACAACTGACAGGCCAAGCATGATTAACCTAGGTAATTTGAACCTAATGGGTTTACAAAAGAGACTTGTTAAAGCCTTGGAATGCTCTGTGAGATGGGACAAAGAAGAAATGAAGAGTTATAAAATACAGCGACACTATTTGAACAAATATTAAGAATTTAAGATGTAAAAGGAAGGAATATAAAGTTACCGGTAAGTTTCTTTGATCAAGGTAAAGACATATTACTACTTCTGGCTACACTTTCTATCTAGACTTTCTGCTGGCACCAGGATTGAAAAGATGATGTGGATTTGCTTATAGACACATGAAAAGATAAATGTAACTTTAGAGAGTATAAACAGTTACTAACTTTGTTTATACTTAGGATGAAGATCTTTTTCCTTATTATATTCCTTTCACTTTTTCTTTTCTTGCACTTTTTACTTTACTATTTTTCTTTTCCTTACTATTTTTCCCTTTAAGTTTAGTTTGAATTAGATTTTACTGTTATAATCAAATTCTTAACAGTAAAGTAGTTCTCCTCAGCAACTAGAAGCTCAGTCACCGTACTAACTCACATCAGTGAGTACAGACTCACACATGTCATACTTGTGTTGACATGAATGATGATGATCCTGACAGCTTATTTGTGAGACCGTTGTTGTATGACACTTCACCGTCCATGGCAGTTCAATGATGTTTTCCCAGGAGTTTCTAGTCGTCTTCGGGAGTCTGTGGTGTCTCTTATAGGAGTGCTGGTGACATAAGATCTGGGCACAGTTTGGCCTCAGCTTGTTTGATTATGATGTCATTGTGAGTCTCTTGAAACTTTGGATGGCATCTGCCTCTGCTCTACTGAAATTGTTGTGTAAGAATTATTATTTTTTTCATTGATGATTGTGCCTTGGGGTTGCTGGCAAAAGCATTCAGTATCGAAATCCAGTTCACTGTTACATCCATCAAGGGGTGGGGGGTCCATGCTTTTTTAGGATTTGATGTGCTCTGCAATTGTGTGTTGTCACAGATTATGATGGCTATATCTCTGAACCTTGGGTTTTGGTTTTTGTTTTTGTTAAAAGAATTCTTTTTGTCTCACATTTCCTGGTCCTCGGAGAGTTGCATATTTTTGGTGGGTTGGGAGGAGGAGGAGAGAGAAGCATCATTCACGAACAGACCCTTCAGCTTGGTGGGGTCTGCAATTGAATGGGTTCACTATAGTTGGGGTAGGTCTGTGGAGCCCTCCCAACTGTAGTGAGTAGAATGCATGTAGAAACTTGGATTGCTTGTTTTCTTTCGCCCATAGTTTAACACTGCTCTCCAGCTACAACTTAAACTAAAAAGAGATTTCAGCTTAATAATCAGGGTAGGGAAATATATAACGGCTCTTCTGTGAGAGGTGCTTAGTGCCCTCTGAACGTGGTTGTGTTCCTCCAGACGTTTCAAAACCCAACTAGGTAACATTATCAGTGCTGGTAAGGAGTGAGGTTTGCTCTCCCTTTATATGCTACTGGCTTGCCCTGTCAGTGTTGGTATTTCCTTGACTGGGTGTTTATTATTGACTTGGTAGTACCGTGATTGGAGTATTGTTTCCTTCTTGATTGTTGATCTAATGCCTATTGCATCTTGGTGCTAAACTTGCTCGTATAGATGCCGATTGCTGGTGGGGAAGTAGTTTTGGTCTTTGGGTTCCATTTTTTGGCTTGTTGATAGCCTCTTTTATGTCGCATGTAGATATTGTTTATATCTATGTATCCGTTGATGGTTTATTTCTCAAGAGTATTAGGCTTCTAGAAATTCCATAGCATTTTTGGACTTGGCTTATGGTCACAGTTTCCCAGTTGAAACTATGATTAAGTCTGTCCATAAGTTGTGAAATTATTCCATCGCGTCTTCTGACTGCTAGTCGGTGC